GGTTAATTTCATCCCGTTGAAGCCCGCCGGCCGGAGGGAGAAAAGAAAAACGTGATGTAACGTCTTGAAGCATTTAATCGCGCCGCTATTCGTCCCTACCGACCCACCGCCGGCCCTGTTCCATCTTCCTTTTATTTGGATTACTTTGAAACGGGTAATCCCCTTAAGCGCCCTTCTCGCGCGCGTCCCCGACAAAAATAGCTGATTTGTTTACTGCGTCCGACGCCCGCCGCTCGGAGACGAATAACGCGCCCCGGGAACTTCCCCGTTGGTCTCGCGAGAAATTGCATCTCGACCGGCCCAGTTTTCCGAGGAATTCGATGCTATTCTTGTAACCGAAGTATTTACGAGCCGAGAGTCTCGGAAGCGGCACCGCCGAAGTATTATTTCAGTCACATTCGACTTAGACTTCGCGAGCTACGAACCGGGTTTCCCTGGGAAATGCTAACGATAAAGTGCATCTGGCGGCGAGGCTACCGAAATTAATGAGTCGAGTGACTCGAACGATACTCGGAAGATGTTCGCGATGTAAGGGCCGAACGTATCGAAAAGAAGCACCGCTTCGAGCGACGCAGTTGGCCGAGCGGCAAAAAGCGAGGGGTCGAAACGCGGGAATAATCCGATAAGTCGATGAGGTTTCTCGCGCGCGCTTAACAAATGGATGCTCGTAATCGTCGAAAACGACCGGGCGAACAAAGCCGGGCGCATCGTGACGAACGACTGTGCGAACTTTCGCGAATTCTTGCTCGGAGAAACTCTGTCTCCCTTCGTTCATGGATTAGTGCTCCCGGGAAGTTTCTGAATGGCGGAGTCCCATTCGAACAGCGGGAACGGTGATCAAGCGGCTTGAACGACTCGCGGGCGTTTATGGAAATAAATTTCAGTGGGCAAGAACGCCGCGCAACGGTGCCCGCGTATCCGGCGCTGTTGTGCGCGCCAGTCGGAGCGGAAGTTGCGTCGCGGCCCGCGAATTTCTGCTAGCCGACCCGACTAAGGAACGAGGATTCGGTCGGCGGCGAGGCTAGTCGCGTGCACGCGCCCGTGATTTATGAAACGCGCCGTAATTGACTTGCATTACGATGCAAATCGCTCTGGTCACGATACGACGCGAACCGGCTGTCTTTGATTTTCACTGAAAAAATAGGATTTCACTCGTTCCTCCGTCGCCCTCCTCTTCCCGTGTTGCTCTCTTCATCCTTCTCCTCGGTGACTTTCTTCCGCGCGTTATTTCTGCTTTGTAAACTGATTTGTGTACCCAGCTCCGCCGGTGTTTTTAGGCCGAGCACAATTAGTTACAGGTTTCACGGCTCGAGAGGCATTTGTACGTTGCGCAGCGCAGGGTCGTTCACTTTCTGGAGCACGCCAGCCGCTGTCAATAAGGCTTGAACCGCCATCGCGTGCTCGAGCTTGTATTTTTACTCGCCGGGGAAATATTTTTAAACCGCGCGGCCGGGGATCCGTGGATTCCGTTGCCGTTTTTAAGCCATCACGCTGCCCCGTCCCCCCGCCGAATGACGCGACGCCGTGTCTGTCATGGAACGTCCGTTTCCACTTCGCGAAGTAACTTTCCCTCGCTCGGCGACTTCCGTGCCACTTCCGACTGTCGCGAGAGCTGTCCTCTTGGAAGGATTCGTGCGAAGTGCTAGAAAAGTGATTATACAAGTGGAGCGGACTTCGTTTTCAATGGGAAATCAAGGCGGGCGCGTGGATTTCGGAAAGTACGAAGATTCATTCGCGATCGGTGGGCGATCAGCTTCTCGCCTGTGAAGATTTCATTTCCGTGCATCGCACGGGTGTACTTAATTTGTTTAATTATGCCAGAGACGTGTGGAAACTACGCCGGCAGTTGCCAAGGGCGCGGAGCGCGCGATGCACGGATATTTTCCGCCGCCGGGCGGATTCATTTCCAGGTGAATCACGTGCCTGCATCGGCGGAGCTGCATTCAACAAAGAGAAAAAATTCAGCCCCGGGTTCGGAAAATTTCGCCCAAACGGCGAAAGCCGGCAAATTAAACTCGTTTCACCAGAAACTAATGCAATATCCACGATCCAGTTATAATTGACTGGGAAAATGTTTCTTCGCCGGGATTGCCGCGATTGTTCCCTTATCAGCCGTAGGTTCTCTTAATTATCTTCCTCGGGCTGCGCGCTTTCTTTCTCTTAACACGCGCGTTCATTGAATTATCTCGGAACAGAAACAGAGGCGGGTTATTCAGAACGGGATAAACAGTTCGAACGTTCCCTTTCGATGAATCGACCGGTGAAATTTACCAGATACGTTAAAATTCCTGATTTCCTTTTTCACAATTACTGGCAAGATACATGTTCCTCTGAACAGTTACTAAAGAAGTTGATTCACTAACGCGCTAAGTTACAAATCATTCGAGATCCCCATAGACGCGATCGTAGAGTTTCCACAAGAATTTTAGACACATCAGATTCAACCGCTCCGTAGTTTTAGCGCTAATGAAGTCACTTATCCCGCGAGCCACTCAAGGAAACCGTGATGGATCCGATCAAGCGAGGACCATTCATTCGGCACACGAGTTCCCGCTCGATCCGCCGAATCTCCGATTGTTTCCGCGAGGGCACGCGCGTTACGCATGCACGCGCTCAAGTTATGCATTCTCCGTGGGACAGGTGAGAAATGTTGTTCGACGATTTATACGTTGACGGGGAACGTAGGGCGAAGGAAGAGGTCCCGTTGAGAAATCTCTCGCCGGCATAGTTGATTATTTGTGACTGCGCCCGTAGCTCACCTAGCCGGGATAAGTGCATATCCGTGTGAACATTGTATCCTTTCTTGCGGTTATAAGGTATGCAATCAACGCGTACCGGCCATTTGGTACGGCGTACAGCCCCGCTAGGAAATCCGGCTGAAAATTGGCATGGATTTTATTCACGAATCACATTCCGCCTCTACCTCGACCGCGGAGAATAATACTTTTTTTTCTCTCTCTCCCTCCTTTCTTCCCCTCGTCTTCTCCTCTCCGTTTCTCCCGCCGAATCGAATGAAATTAATTTTCTGCTCGCGATCCGCGCTGATATTTATGACAATTACGTCGGCTGAATGGCGGGACCGGCGTGAATGCCGCGAATAAAGGGGACCCTCGGCGAAATTAGTCCGCGGGAACGACGGGGCCGCCGTTGCCCTGTTAAAAAGTTGT